GTGGTGGGCCCTGTGCTGTGCCACCACATATATGTACACCACTGAAATTTGTGGACACCCTGTTGTGACACCCTCGGTTGTCCCCCCCCCCCCCCCCCCCCCAAGCATTGTGACTGCACTGTCACCGTTTACAGGCAAGAGCCAACAGAACAGACCAATCAATGTGATGGCCAATCACTGTGGTCACATCATGAGGAAGCCCAGAAAAGGCCTCCAGCATGAAGATCCTCTTAAGGGTTTAGGAAAGTTGACCGTAAGGCAAACGTTGATCAGTTTTTTTTGGATTTAAATAAAGAATAGCAATTGGTCGAACCAGAAACCCAATCAAGCTGCCGTAGAGAAAACGATGGAAAACCTCATCGAACTTGGGTTCAAATGATCAGATTTCCATGTGTGTGGGCTGGCTGTACTCATCAACCACCAGGGAGCCACAAGCTGGTGAAGACTTGTCCTCCGCCACGGCAAACCACCACCTCCTGATTCTAATCATGTCTAGATGAACAAAATTTTAGTGGAAATAGAAAACAATGCTTCCAGGGGACACCATGGTGGTCTTGGTTACAAAGCATGGGGTCATTACCCAAAACTGGAGAAATAAAGTACGGGTGACGGGTTCCTCGATGATTTCACTTATGGGTGAACTATTGTGGCACTTGGGAGCTCTCAGGGACAGGCCACCAGTGTCTTTAGCTCCACTCTGTGCCCGTTTACAAAGCAAAGGAGTCTCACTTCTCCAGCAGAATTCATTGTAAAATGGGATGGTGAGAGCGCTGACCCCCTTGTTATGACCTTCAGCTGATCTCCTCCCGAATTTGAAGATGGTTTAGATGAAAACCAATGGAGGAATGCTGGGCGTGTTATTACTGACTTCCTTCTGAAAATACTTCTTCCCTGGCTGTCTCTGGCTTTACTATTTTTCAAGTCGCTGAGCATGTGAATGTTCTAACTCAGGTCAGTGACTTGGACGTATTGAAGCCAAAGGATGGGAATGACCGATGTTCAGAAGGAACGGTCCACTTTAAGAGGGGTTCCCCTTGCTGCTAAAATCTCAGATTTTCTCCAGACTGGCGGAGCTCATAGTGTACACCCCCCCCCCCCCCCTCCCCGGTCATCTCTCAACCGCCTGGCAGGTAAATGGGACTCCGCAAGAGTTTGTGAATAGTCTCAGGGTTTGCACACTGTTACAATGTACTGTCTGTCCTCCTCCTCTATGTATAGAAGGGATTTTTAACTAGTGATCTTGATATTTAAATTAAAGGATGTATTTTCTGTATTGTGAAGCATCTCGTCCATTATTTCCCCACACACTTCCATAATACACTATACTGCCAAAAGTATCGGGCCGCCGGCCTTTCCACACACGACCTTTAATGGCCCCCCAGTCTTAGTCCGTAGGGTTCAATATTGAGTTGGCCCCGCCCTTTCCACACACATGACCTTTATTGGCCCCCCAGTCTTAGTCCGTAGGTTCAATATTGAGTTGGCCCCGCCCTTTCCACACACATGACCTTTATTGGCCCCCCAGTCTTAGTCCGTAGGGTTCAATATTGAGATTGGCCCCTGCCCTTCCCACGCACATGACCGCCCCCCCTTTCCACACACATTGACCTTTTATTGGCCCCCCAGTCCTTAGTCCGTAGGGTTCAATATTGAGTTGGCCCCGCCCTTTCCACACACATGACCTTTATTGGCCCCCCAGTCTTAGGTCCAATAGGGTTCAATATTGAGTTGTTGGCCCCGCCCTTTGCAGCTATAACATCTTCAACTCTTCTGGGAAGGCCGTTCACGAGGTTTAGGAGGGTGTCTATGGGAAGGTTGGACCATTCTTCCAGAAGAGCATTTGTCAGAGGTCAGGCACTGATGTCGGGGAGGAGGCCTGGCTCGCAGTCTCCGCTCTAATTCATCCCAAAGGTGTTCTATGGGGTTGAGGTCAGGACTCTGTGCAGGACAGTCAAGTTCCTCCACCCCAAACTGGTTCCTCCATGTCTTTATGGACCTTGCTTTGTGCACTGGTGGGCAGTCATGTTGGAACAGGAAGGGGCCATCCCCAAACTGTTCCCACAAAGTTGGGGAGCATGAAATTGTCCAAAATGTCTTGGTATGCTGACGCCTTAAGAGTTCCCTTCACTGGAACTAGGGGGCCAAGCCCAACTCCTGAAAAAACAACCCCACACCATAATCCCCCCCTCCACCAAACTTTACACTTGGCACAATGCAGTCAGGCAAGTACCGTTCTCCTGGCAACCGCCAAACCCAGACACGTCCATTGGATTGCCAGACAGAGAAGCGTGATTGGTCACTCCAGAGAACACATCTCCACTGCTCTAGAGTCCAGTGGCGGCATGCTTTACACCACGGCATCCGACGCTTTGCATTGCACTTGGTGATGGAAGGCTTGGATGCAGCTGCTCGGCCATGGAAACCCATTCCATGAAGCTCTCTACACACTGTTGTTGGGCTCATCTGAAGGCCACACCAAGTTTGGAGGTCTTTAGCTATTGACTCTGCAGACAGTTGGTGACTTCTGCGCACTGTGCACGCTTCAGCATGCGCTGACCCCGCCCTGTCATGTGACGTGGCCTACCACTTGGTGGCTGAGTTGCTGTTGTTTCCCAGTTGCTTCCACTTTGTTATAATCCCACTAACAGTTGAGCGTGGAATATTTAGTACCAGGAAATGTCACGGATGGGACTTATTGCCCAGGTGGCCACCTATCACGGGACCACGCTTGGAGTCACTGAGCTCCTGAGAGCGACCCATTCTTTCACCAATGTTTGTAGAAGCAGTCTGCATGCCTAGGGGCTTGATTGTATACACCTGTGTCCATGGAGGGGATTGGAACACCTGAATCACATGATTTGGAGGGCGGAGCCAATACTTTTGGTTATATAGTGTAGGTCTCCACATTCATATCTGGTTCTTGTTTGGAGAGGTCTTCTCCTTTTATTATGCTGCAAAGATGAGTCATCAGTGAGGGAAACAGACGTGTTCCCTGCAATACAAGATTGCCAACATCTACCCAAAGGTGTGAGGGAATGGAGGGAAATGCCAACAGAGACCGTTTACAAAGGGAGTTGACGCTTTTTTGGGGATTGGGGTCCCCATCCCCCAGGAAAAATGTACCACTTTGAGCACAGAAACATGGACATAATCAGACCAGTAGGGAGGGTTAATTTTTGAAGCCTTCCAATGGCCGGTTTCACTTGCATGGACGGCTCTCCTTTTGAACACATGATGTCGGTTCACAGCAATAGATTCCAAATGCAAATCCCGCACTTACAATCAAACTCCAGACTGTTTCCTGCTTAATTGATGAAGAAATAATGTGAGTAGCCCACACCTGGCCATGAAACGGCTTTTGATTCACTTGTCCAATTACTTTTGGACCCTTGAAAAAGGGGGGATGGCTACTCTTAAGAGCTGTAATTCCTAAACCCTTCCTCCAATTTGGATGTACATACCCTCAAATTACACCTGAGAGTGTGTACTGTCTGCCCATATCCATTATAGAACTAGAGCTGGAATGTTTCGGTAGATACCTGAAAAAAAACTAAAATTGTGCCTATGTCCAAATATATATGGACCAAAGTTGTACCTGCTTATCTGCAGTCATCTCCTCTCTACATCTAATCAAAGTACGTAATTTATACAGCTTGTCTGAGTTTTAAGAAAGCGGGGGGTGGAGGCTGATGTTACACTCTGTAGAGCTCAGCAAGAGGTGATTGGACGGGGAGGGGAGGGGAAAGGGAAGGGGTAGTAAAGTAGAGGAAAGGGGAGGGCATACAGGAACAGAGCTGAGGCCGTCAATCACAGGCTGTGTGCTGGAGCTCCCTCCCCTGTCACCTTTCTATTGGGGTCAGGAAAACCTGTGACTCAAGTTGATATCACAGGAAGGAGGCAGCAGACAGAAATGACACTTAGTGCTCTGGACTGAGACAAGTACACACTGGGTATCTGGAAGGGTGAGATACAACCACTTTTAGATGGACAGGGGTGCAGATGAGTGGCCCCAAATGCAGACAGTGAGCGTTTTTCCGGGGGGGCCTCTCCCCCATTCCCACACATGCAGCCCAAATTTAAAGTGTAAGCTCACAAACAAAACAGGAGAACGCCATCCACTCTCCCCATCCCCACTGCACTTCCCTCCATGGGTGATGAGTTGATGATCTGCACCAAAATGCCCAGATATTACTTTTTGTAAATGTTGCAGTGACACCATCGCTGCGCTGTAGATGGCGGCTGCAGAGAGCAGAGCTGTGGGGAGGGTGCCCATACAGCCCAGTCCAGCAGCCCAAGGATTCCCCTGGCCCCCTCCCACAGCTCTGCTCTCTGCAACCACCATGTACAGCACAGCGATGGTGTCACTGCAACACATTTACAAAGTAATATCTGGTAGACAAAGGCATTTTGCTGCACATTAGCGGGTTTATATCCTTTATGGCGATTGAAGAATGTACACGGCTCCAAATAATGTCAGGAAGACTCTGAAAACCCATCAGATCTCAATGGGGAGGAATCTCCTGCTGGATCTCTATACTGACATGGACCGGGGTGATGTGTTGGGAATGTAAGGACGCCCCATCGTTTGATGGAAATGAAAATGACCCGACCTACAGAGGACTGAATTCAAAGACACCCCAAAAATTAAAGTGAAGAAATGATGCAGCAGGCGAGTCCATTTGTCTGAAATTTCAGAATGGTTCCTCTTCCCACTGACACCAACGTAAGAGGCATTCCTCCTACTAACACCAAATTAAGGGGCATTCCTTCTCCACTGACACCAATGTAAGGGGCATTCTTCCACTCTGATCACCCAATGTAAGGGACATTCTTCCCACTGACACCAATGTAAGGGACATTCATCACCACTGACACCAATGTAAGGGACATTCCTCCCACTGACACAATGTAAGGGAGACATTCTTCCCACTGATCACCAATGTAAGGGACATTTCTTCCCACTGACCTCCAATGTAAGGGAACATCCTTCCCACTGATCACCAATGTAAGGGACATTCTTCCCACTGATCACCAATGTAAGGAGCATTCTTCCCACTGACACCAATGTAAGGAGCATTCTTCCCACTGACACCAATGTAAGGAGCATTCTTCCCACTGATCACCAATGTAAGGGACATTCTTCCCACTGATCACCAATGTAAGGACATTCTTCCCACTGATCACCAATGTAAGGGACATTTCTTCCACTGACACCAATGTAAGGGGCATTCTTCCCACTGATCACCAATGTAAGGGACATTCTTCCCACTGATCACCCATGTAAGGGACATTCTTTCCCACTGACACCAATGTAAGGAGCATTCTTCCCACTGACACCATGTAAGGAGCATTCTTCCCACTGATCCCCAATGTAAGGGACATTCTTCCCACTGACCACCAATGTAAGGAGCATTCTTCCCACTGACACACCAATGTAAGGAACATTCTTCCCACTGACACCAATGTAAGGAGACATTCTTCCCACTAACACCCTCATGTAATGGACATTTTTCTCAGTGACACAGATATAAGGGCATTCCTCCCATTGACACCAATGGTATGGGACATTTTCCCACTGACACCATTGTTAAGAGCATTCTTCCCACTGACACCAATGTAAGGGGCATTCTTCCCACTGACCACCAATGTAAGGAGCGCTTCTTTCCACTGACACCAACATAAGGGACATTCTTCCCACTGACACCAATGTAAGGAGCATTCTTCCACTTACCACCAATGTAAGGGACATTCTCACTGACACCAATGTAAGGGACATTCTTCCCACTGACACCAACGTAAGGAGACATTCTTCCACTGATCACCAATGTAAGGGACATTCTTCCCACTGACAACAATGTAAGGAGCATTTTCCCACTGACACCAATGTAAGGAGCATTATTCCCCACTGACACCAATGTAAGAAGCATTATTCCCACTGACACACCAATGTAAGGAGCATTCTTCCCATGATCACCAATGTAAGGGACATTCTTCCCATCTGACCCCCAATGTAAGGGACACATTCTTCCCACTGACACCAATGTAAGGGGCATTCTTCCACATGATCACAAATGTAAGGGAGCATTCTTCCCATGATCACACAATATAAGGGACATTCTTCCCACTGACACCAATGTAAGGAACATTCTTCCCACTGGACACCAATGTAAGGACATTTCTTCCCACTGACACCAATGTAAGGGGCATTCTTCCCACTGACCACCAATGTAAGGGACATTCTTCCCACTGACACCAATGTAAGGGGCATTCTTCCCACTGATCACTAATGTAAGGAGCATTCTTCCCACCTGATCACCAATATAAGGGACATTCTTCCCACTGACACCAATGTAAGGACATTCTTCCACTGACACCAATGTAAGGAACATTCTTTTCCCACTGACACCAATGTAAGGGCATTCTTCCCACTGACCACCAATGTAAGGGACATTCTTCCCACTGACACCAATGTAAGGAGAATTATTCCCACTAACACCCATGTAATGGACATTTTTTCAAGTGACACAGATATAAGGGGCATTCCTCTCATTGACACCAAGTATGTAAGGACATATTTCCCACTGACACCATTGTTAAGAGAGCATTTCTTCCCACTGACACAAATGTAAGGGGCATTCTCTTCCACTAATCACCAATGTAAGGAAAACATTCTTCCCACTGTCCACCAATGTAAGGAGCGTTCTTTCCACTGACACCAATGTAAGGAAACATTCTTCCCACTGACCTCCAATGTAAGGGACATTCTTCCCATTGACACCAACGTAAGGAGCATTCTTCCCACTGATCACCAATGTAAGGAGCATTCTTCCCACTGACACCAATGTAAGAGGACATTTCTTTTCCCTGACACCAATGTAAGGGACATTCTTCCCACTGATCACCAATGTAAGGAGCATTCTTCCACTGATCACCAATGTTAAAGGGACATTCTTCCCACTGACACCAATGTAAGGGACATTCTTCCCACTGATCACCAATGTAAGGGACATTCTTCCCATGACACCAATGTAAGGGACATTCTTCCCACTTGACCACCAATGTAAGGGACATTCTTACCTTGCCGGTTACACAGAGGAAGAGAGAGGAAATGCCCGGGTGTCTGGTCCCCTCTCCGGTGTGTACAGCCTGTCCTCGGACTCCTCTCTGGAGCTCCTCCCCCTCCCAATACGTCTCTGCGAGCCCACGGCCTGCTGTACGGTGAGGTCCCGGTCACTATGGAGACGGAGTGCAGGCCACCCCGGGGATGCTGGGAGCTGTAGTCCACTCTGTACCTGGATGTACATGGCCTTTATAGAGCAGATGGGGAGATACTCGAGGGCCCAGTGTGGCCCTTAGACCGGAGAGGGGCCTTGGTGAGCTTTCTCAGGCTCCATGGAGGAGGGAGGTTAGACCACAGAGATCCGTCTCATATCACCCACAGAGGGTCTGGCCTACACACCCCCCTTCCCCCCCCATAGATGTCCTGTGACCTCCCCCCCACACCCCATAGATGTCCTGTGAACTCCCCTCCACACCCATACATGTCCTGTGACCCCCCCCACACTCCATACATGTCCTTTGACCCACCATACAACATACATGTTACACCCCCCCGTACCCCATACATGCCCTGTGACACCCCCCCTTACATATCTTGTGCCTCCCCCGCCCCTCCCTGGACCTCACAGTATTTATTTCCAGTATTGGATGTACATGGAGAGCCCCCTCCGTGTGTTTATTACCATTTGTGAGATTTCACTTCACTTCTTGTCCTGGTGACACCTTCTGAGGGGAAGACAGCTCCTTCCGTACCAAGTAATACAACCCATGCTGGCATTCCATGAGGGGCTACAGACAGAACAGGCCGAGGGTTCCCATCAGGTTCTATTATAAAAGGGGGTCTCCATCAGAGTCCACTATTATGATGGTCTCCATCAGGTTCTGTTATTATGAGGGTCTCCATCAGAGTCCACTATTATGAGGGTCTTTGTCCGGTTCCAGTATTGTGAGGATCTCTGTCAGGTTCCAGTTTTGTGAGGGTCACCATCAGGTTCTGTTATTACGAGGGTCTCCATCAGAGTGCACTATTATGAGGGTCTTCGTCACGTTCCAGTATTACGAGGGTCTCCGTCAGGTTCCAGTATTATGAGGGTCTCTGTCAGGTTCTGTTATTATGAGGGTCTCCGTCAGGTTCCAGTATTATGAGGGTCTCATCAGCTTCCAGTATTATGAGGGTCTCCATCAGAGTCCACTATTATGAGGGTCTTCATCAGGTGTCAGTATTATGAGGGTCTCCGTCAGAGTCCACTATCAGGAGGGTCCCCACAACACCTCCCAACTTCATACTTGACAAAGAAGGACAACCCTTAACGGGGCAGAATGTGGTGCGTATAGCGCAGTGCAGCGAGAAGTGGGTGTGGCCATGTGGGCGTGGTTTACAGATTCCTGCAGCAGCTGTGATAGGAATCCCCCAGACTGGAAGACGTATAATGAGGATGGAGACCTCCGGGAAGGTCATGTTCATCTATAGAATGTTTTGCATTTGTTTATCTACATCGTTGAGACTTCATTCACATCTGTGCGCTCCGGGAACGTGCAAAATAACGCGCATGGCGTTCATGGTGCCACTCATAGTTAATGGCAGCCCAAATGCAGCCAGCAGACGCGCGATAAAAAAATGCAAAAGTCCAATGCCCGCAAAGATGTGCATTTTCACATGTAGCGCAACATTTCAAAGGAATGGGCTGCCCTATGCAGGTCATGCAAAATGCACAGAAAAAAGCACCAAAATGTGCGTTCACGTGCACTGATGTGGGAGGGGCCTATGTCTGTTTATTGTGCAGCAACCCAACAGTCCCTGCAGAGGATACAGCGATAAACGCCAACAAATGTACAGTGTGGTGTCTATCACAGGGCTCCGTGTGTGCGTATATACAGAATGCATTACAATGAGGGTCTCCTTCAGGGTTCAATATTATAGGGATCGATATCAGGTTCCAGTAATATGAGGGTCTCCTCCAGGTTCCAGTAATATGAGGGTCTCCTCCTGGTTCCAGTAATATCAGGGTCTACTCCATGTTCTAGTAATATGAGGGTCCCTCCAGGTTCCAGTAATATGAGGGTCTCCTCCAGGTTCCAGTAATATGAGGGCCTACTCCAGGTTCCAGTAATATGAGGGTCTCCTCCAGGTTCCAGTAATATGAGGGTCTCCTCCATGTTCTAGTAATATTAGGGTCCCCTCCAGGTTCCAGTAATATGAGGGCCTACTCCAGGTTCCAGTAATATGAGGGTCTCCTCCAGGTTCCAGTAATATGAGGGTCTCCTCTGTGTTCCAGTAATATAAGGGTCTCCTCCAGGTTCCAGTAATATGAGGGTCTCCTCCGTGTTCCAGTAATATGAGGGTCTCCTCCATGTTCTAGTAATATGAGGGTCCCCTCCAGGTTCCAGTAATATGAGGGCCTACTCCAGATTCCAGTAATATGAGGGTCTCCTCCAGGTTCCAGTAATATGAGGGTCTCCTCCATGTTCTAGTAATATTAGGGTCCCCTCCATGTTCCAGTGATATGAGGGTCTCCTCCAGGTTCTAGTGATATGAGGGTCTCCTCCAGGTTCCAGTAATATGAGGGTCTCCTCCAGGTTCTAGTAAAATGAGGTTCACCTCCATGTTCCAGTGATATGAGGGTCTCCTCCAAGTTCTAGTGATATGAGGGTCTCCTCCAGGTTTCCTAGTGATATGAGGGTCTCCTCCAGGTTCCAGTAAGGTGGGGTTCTCCATCAGGTTGTATTATTATAAAGATCACCACCATGTTCCATTATAATTGGGGTCTCCATAATGTTCCAATATTATGAGGGTCTCTATCGGATTCCCTATTATGTAGATTTTGCAGCTCATTTATTTGAATGGGCGGTAGATCGCTTTGAACTGCACAGCAAATAGTGCATGCACTACTGTGGTACCATGTGATCTGCTGCCTGCAAAAGCAGTGTTTGGGGTGATGTTATCAACGTATTGGCCCTGCAGCAGATCACAAAAGTAGTGTGTTTTGAACACAGCATGTGAAAGCTGCATGGAACACACATTTCTCGCACTGCATTCTGGTGCGTACCACCCTATTATTGGCATACTTGTTCGGGTCATTACTCATTGAAGTCAGAGGGACGGCAAGACAGCCAGGCAACTGGAATTTTGAGAAGGAAACCGGCAGCCTCCATTTTTACAGAGCAAGTTCTGCAGAGCGTTGGTGAAATCTATTGTTCCTGTTAGTAAATAGAAGCTGCTTTTTAGAAGTCTATGGTGGGACTGAGCGTTGAGATGTTGATGTAATGTATGGAGAATGACCCCCAATATAGAGTGTGGAGCTGCTGATGTAATGTATGGAGAATGACCCCCAATATAGAGCGTGGAGCTGTTGATGTAATGTATGGAGAAAGACCCCCCAATATAGAGGGTGGAGCTGCTGATGTAATGTATGGAGAATGACCCCCAATATAGAGCGTGGAGATGTTGATGTAATGGATGGAGAATGACCCCCAATATAGAGTGTGGAGCTGCTGATGTAATGTATGGAGAATGACCCCCAATATAGAGCGTGGAGATGTTGATGTAATGTATGGAGAATGACCCCCAATATAGAGCATGGAGCTGCTGATGTAATGTATAGAGAATGACCCCCAATATAGAGCGTGGAGATGTTGATGTAATGTATGGAGAATGACCCCCAATATAGAGCGTGGAGCTGCTGATGTAATGTATGGAGAATGACCCCCAATATAGAGCGTGGAGCTGCTGATGTAATGTATGGAGAATGACCCCCAATATAGAGCGTGGAGATGTTGATGTAATGTATGGAGAATGACCCCCAATATAGAGTGTGGAGCTGCTGATGTAATGTATAGAGAATGACCCCCAATATAGAGCGTGGAGCTGTTGATGTAATGTATGGAGAATGACCCCCAATATAGAGCATGGAGCTGCTGATGTAATGTATAGAGAATGACCCCCAATATAGAGCGTGGAGATGTTGATGTAATGTATGGAGAATGACCCCCCAATATAGAGCGTGGAGCTGCTGATGTAATGTATAGAGAATGACCCCCAATATAGAGCGTGGAGCTGCTGATGTATGGAGAATGACCCCCAATATAGAGCGTGGAGCTGCTGATGTAATGTATGGAGAATGACCCCCAATATAGAGCGTGGAGCTGTTGATGTAATGTATGGAGAATGACCCCCAATATAGAGCGTGGAGCTGCTGATGTAATGTATGGAGAATGACCCCCAATATA